AAAACATATGGTAAAATTAACTTTAAATCCATTTAACGTAAAAATTACCATAAAATATAATAATATATTTAAACAAATAAAACCACCGGAACTAAAAACATTTAACAAAAATAACAACAATAATAAAAAAAATTTAAAACTATTAAACGGTTTAAATTCATTTGCGTTATTAAATACAATTTAAACCTCGGCCACGTTTTAAGCTTTAAACGTTAACAATGATAATATACTTAATATTTCGTATTTTTTTAAAACCTGATATAACCAAAAATTAAATATATTTAAATTTAAAATAACAATTATTACTTATATAAACCTTATTAATATAAATTATAATAAATAAATATTTTTATATAAAATCTTTATATTAATTTATAATAAAAATAATAATAAAATTAATAACATTTATACTTTTTTAATAATATTAATTATTTTATAATAATAATTTTATACTTATTTACTTTTTTTATTAATACATAAAATAAAAATCTTATTTAAAATTAAAAAAATATTTATTAAATTAAAGTTTTATTAAGTTAAAATTTAAACGAAATTAATACATTAAAATTAAAATAAAAAATAACACCGTAAAAAATAAAAAACAAAACTTATAAAAGAAATTTTTATACTTATAATTAAATTAACGTTTTTTAATTTAATTACTTTATTTAAAACTTTTTTAACTTTTAATATTAACAATAATATATATTATAAACCAATTATATTTATTAATAACTTTATAAAATTTTATTATAAATATTATTAATTTAAATTAATTTATATATTAAATAATAATTATACTTATTTTAAATTTTAAATTATAATCTTTTTTAATAATTAAATATATTATTAATATATTAATAATAATTATCATTATTAATTTATTAACGAAAAAAAATTTAAAATTATTAATTTATATATTAAACGCATATATGGCATTAAATTAAACATACGTGAAAAATTTTATATAAAAAAAAATAAAACTATTAAAATATTATAAATTTAAAATTTTATAAAAATGAATTAATATTAATTTTAAAAATTATATATATATTAAAAACAAATATATGGTTATTAAAAAATATTTATTTAAATTATAAATTTAAAAAATATTTTAACAATTTTAAACTTTTTAAATTATAACTTAATATAAAAAAATAAATAAAATAAAATATATTTTAGCCAAAATATAACGTTTATATAAAATTATTAATTAAAAATAATTTTAACAAATATTGGTTTATTTATTATATAATCATATTTAATTAAAAAATAAATAAAAACCTTAATATATATATTATAAAAAAAATAATACCCTTTTATTATACCCATTTTATACGCGCTAAATTAAAATTTTAAACTTATAATCAAATAACATTTTAAAAAAAAAAATAACTTTTATTTAATATAATATTTATTAAAACCATTTTTTATATAAATTTTATTAACAAATTTAATATTTTTAATAACTTATATTAATTTTTAATAAACAATTATATTATATTAATTAAATTATATAAAATAAATTAATTTAAATTTAATAATATATATTTATTAATATTTAAACCGCATAAATTAAACTTTATAAATATTATAAAAACATTTGGTAAACTTAAAATATTAAATAAAATAATAATATTAAATATTAAAGGTAAATATATTATAATTTATGCGTTTACTTTATATTATATAAAAAATATGCTTTAACAAATTAAAAATAATAAATTTAAAAGCTTTTATAAAATTAAATTTTACCGCTATTATTTTATTATATTAATAAAGAATTTTTAATAATTTAACATTATATTAAACTTTAATATTATTACATATAATTAATATTATTATTAATTTAAACATATATAAAAAATTATAATTAATATATATAAAAATAAAATTATAAAAGTTATATATAACTTATAATAAAAGATAATTAATTTAATACCACCATTTAAAATTATTTCCCCAGTTTTTAATTTAATATTTTTACATCCATTTAATATAATCCATTTAAAATATATTAAATTAATTAATTTAATATATAATTTTATCCGTAACGGCATATTAATTCTTTTAATAATAAATAAATATATATTTAAATTATAAATATAATTATTTTTATTTAATAAGTAACAATTATAATTATTAAAATATTATTTAACCAATTATAATATATTATTTTATATTATTTAATTTATTATTATCTTTTTTTTTTTTTATAATTGGTTTAAATTTTATTATATAAAAGTTAATTTTTATAAAAAAGTTTTTTAAAACTATAAATTAATTAATATTATTATTTAAGTTTATATAATAATTATTAAAAATAATAATTTTTTAATAAAGTTTAAATTATTAAATATTAATTAAATTAATATTTTATAAAATATTAAAAAAGTTAAAAAATTATTTAATTAATTTTGTATATACGTATTTAAATCTTTAAATTTACAAGTAAAATTTGTTATATCCGTTTAAAAGTAAAATAATTAAAAGATTATTAAAAATAATATAATTGCTTTAAATTATTTATTATAATATTTTAATAATATATTTAAATTAAATATTTATATAATATTTTATTTTATAAATTTTATAAAAAAATATAATTTAATAATAAATTATAATATATTAATCAAAAAAGATTTATATTCGTAAATTTTTTTTTTTTTTTTTTTTTTTTTATATAATATAAAGCCATATTTTTTATATATTTTTATTTTATAAAACTTTTTAAATAACCATTAATATACATTTAAAACATACCGTAATAAAATCAAATTAACATTTAATATTTTTAAATTTTATAAACGTTAGGTTTAAAAAATAAATAAACATAATATCGAAAAAACTTTTTTTAAAAATAAAATATATAAATAATTATACGTTTTATCTTTTAAAACGTTTATAACAAAAAAAACCCCGATATAATAACTTAATTATAAAGGTTTTATATATAATATTTTATTTTATTTAAATAAATACTTTTTTATATTAATTAAAACAAATTAATTAATATAATTAATGTTAATATTAATGTAAATAATATAAAAAAGGTTTTTATAATGTTTAAAAATAATATACACGTTTAAACTATAATAATTAACCGCATTAATAAAAAAAAGTTTATATAAACCATATATTTTATTTAAAATAATAACTTATTATTTATAAAAAACCGTTAAATATTTTTTTTATTTATATTTAAACTTTACGCAATATATTATTACAATTATAACTATTTTATTTTATATTTTATAAAATATGAAAATAATAACAAAATTACATAATTTTATAAACTTAAGTTTAATAATAAATAAATATTTATAATTTCTTTATTATTATTAAATATTTTTTTATATAAAGTTTAATTAATAATTTATTTATTTTAACATAATATATAAAATAACTAAAATGCAATATATTTTTAATAAAAGCAATTATATTTAATATAACAATAAAAATTATTTTAATTATATTAATTAAATTTTCATATTTAATGTTTATGGTAATATTTACATTTTTACAATAATTATATTATTATAATAAATAAAAAAACGTAATAAGTTATTAAAATTAAAAATATTATACGAAATGAAAAACGAGTTAATTATTATCGGGATTATAATTATTAAATTATTTAAATTATATTTGGTTAATATTATTAATATTAACATTATTAATGTAAATTAAAACATTTGTTAATTATAAATAAAATAAGTATTTTTTATTTTTTAAACCAAATTAATTATAAAGTATTAATAAATACTTTTACAAAATATTTAAAATAAATGTGTTTATTTATAACAAAATTTATTTTAATTAATAATTATTATAAAATTATAACATAAATATAACTTTTCCGAAAAAACTTAATGTTATATAATATATACCAAAAACTTAAATTTTATTAATTATATATAAATAATTTAATATCTTTAATAATTATGTTTTAAAAAAAGGAATATTACTTATAAATTAATAGTTTTTTATATTTTAAAAAATATATATTTTATTAACATTATAACAAATATTTTATAATTTAATAAATAAATATTTACACAATTATATATAAAATTTAATTAACATATTAAACTTTAAATATTTAAAAAGTGTTAAAATTTTAACAATAAAATAAAATTTAACCTTATTTTAAATTAATACCATTATAACGTATTAATTAATCATAAAGTTATAAAAAAAATTAAAAAAACATATTATATTTTAAAAACGTAATAAAGTAAAATTTTACTTTATTTTAAACTAATATTATTACAATATATTAATTAATTATAAAGTTATAAAAAAGGTTAAAAAAACATATTATGTTTTAAAATGTATTAAGTAATATTAAACACCATTTTAAGTTTAAACTTATTATTAAAACGTATTAAATAATTAATTAATTATAAAATTATAATTAAAATAAAATAAAAATATTATTATAAAAAAATAAGTTATTTAACTTATTTAAAGTATTAAACAAGTATTTATCTTTTATATTAAAATTAATTATATAATTTTAATAATATTTAAAATATTATATAATAATATATTATAAAATAAAACTTATATATATTAATAATTTTAAATAAAAAAATAGTTTTAATATATAAAATAATATTATTATATAAAATAATATTAATATATAAAATAATAATAATAAAAAAAATAATTGTAAATAATACAATCATATAATTAATTTTAATATTACTATTAAACGAAATAGTTTTAATACATAAAATAATTTTAATATGTAAAATGGTTTATAATATAAAATGGTTTATAATATAAAATGATTTATAATATAAAATAATTTTAATACGTAAAATAATTTATAATACAAAATAGTTTTAATACATAAAACGGGGAAAGTTAATTCCGTTATTTCCATTAAGTAAAATAATATTATTAAATAAAATAGTTTTAAGTTTACGGAATGGTTTTCCATACCCTTAAACCTCCGCTATGGTAGTTATCATTCTACATATTTCCTTGCTTATGCTACCCCTCCGAGGGCTGAGTTGCGGCAATAAAGGGGCTTTGATTGTGTGTTAGCTATCTTACATTCTACCTGCATCGACTCATGATGCATCTTATCCAATAATTCTGAGAGTAGTTATCCTAGCCGCCTGACTGGATCTGGATCTTGGCCGCATTTGTATTCTGGCCAACAGGCCTTGGCCAAGTTGTCCGTGTGACATGAATGTAAATGCTAAAGTACATATATCTGCCTTTCTTCAGTTTCAACTAACAAACTCGAAAAATACACGATGTAGCTAAGATTGGGTGTTATAAGACAAACATAAACGACAGCGGAAGGATGGCATTTTCCTTGTATAGAGATAATAGCCTTGCACCTATTTTAGAGAAAGTTACCGACACTGCGAGTTCATCTATCTCATACCATAGCCGCCTCGGCCATGAGATTCCAGAAGAGCTGTCGAATATTGCAACGCAATATAGACCGACTACTCCCATAGAGATAGTCTCTGAGCATACTACTGAACAAATAGGTACCATGGAGCAAGGCACAAGAGGTGCGAAATCCTCCAAATACTTCTCTCGTTAAAGGTCATGCCTAATATAAAATACCCACGTGATAGCTACCACAGTACTAAAAGATGATTTGGTCAAAGGGTTTCTAGTTCAACATTTTAGGAACGAGGTTTTGAAAATAACTTCACAGAAAGACCCCGTCACCTGTTTACGAAATATACTAAAGTAAGTGATATAAGAAACTACTTAGGCTATGCAGTCTAATTCCGCCACTCGTTCATAGGTCGCTAATTACCCATCTAAAGTCCCTTGCTTGATTCGAAACCAGTTGCAAAGCCTGACGATGTTGAGCAAGCGGAGAAGAAAGCATGCCAAGTGACTATGACGCTCAGCATAGCAGCTCTCAGTCGGATGCGGATGCGAAAACTTCAAATAGAGCTTACCAACAGAATTATGAGGATACATTATCTTAAAGAGCTCCCAGATGACTGGCAGTCTTTATTGCAGGAGTACAGTAAGTTGCTTTTTGGTAAACATCACTGTGTCGATAATAATAAGACTAACAACGGTACCTAAGTTACTGCAACGCGTGATAACGACTATATTCGCACTTGTGTCGACAGAGGTCTGCACGATCCGTTCCTTATTAAAAGCGAGAGGAAGGTGGATGCCGCCATACTTCAAGCCGCTCTTGTTGAAATTGGGAAACAGGAGCTTAACTTCGCTCCTCCTCTCGAGAAAGAATCAAGAGCTATTGGAGGCACTCGAACTGAGATGACCCAGAAACAGCGAACGGAAGCGTTCTTAAAGCGAGTCGTAGTTTCGATTATAGGGGGGGCATTCCTAGTTGGTCCTATGTGGCTAATGATATTGGTGAAAACTCCGTACTCGTCACTTATTATAACAACGGTATTTGTATTCGTAGCCGGTCTTGCAGCAGCACGGGTACTCAATGGTGATATCCATGTCGTTTCGGTTACGGCGGCGTACGCGGCCGTATTGGTGGTCTTCGTGGGCGCCAACGGTTCTTCGGCATAGACATACTTGGCGCAGAAATTAGAGGATAATATACTCCTATATACACCATCCTTGACATACGAATACCGGTCATAGAAGATATCGATATATATTTTAAAATACACGAACGAGGTTTTATATTCCTGTGAAAATGTCATAAATAAATATTTTCTTCTCTAGAGTCCAGAGATAATTCATTCTTTGAAATATTTCATAAACGTCACTAGGGTGAGCACGAGCATATATAGGGATGTCTTGATAGATACCTACCCAGGTTCTATGTATTTATCAAAATGAAAATACGAGTACTTAGGTAGGCTTAATAGTTTGGCGGTTCTCGTATTTTGACCTTCTCTATATTTCCATGCGATCCAGGGGTTGGAGCTACCCGACCTTCTAGCGTAACCACTCCGTAACATGACGGTGAAAAGTGAATATATCTAGAGTAACTTCTGACGGATGCTTGTTTCCAATGCTAGAAGATCTTATATCGTCAAAATAAGCCAGAATTCAGAGCAGGAGGAAGGTCCCCAGAACCTTATTCCCGGAATCTTCTTTTTATCTAATTTATAAGTCTATGAAGGTTTGAATTATTACCGATTATCACATAACTAACCTGCTAATGACATATATCTGAATACTATCTAAATACCTCCTAATATACTACATTAATTTCCACAAGTGAATTGTCCTCATCAGTAAATACACTATGATGCAATGTCGACATCTCTTATGGATGTATATATTAGTGAACGAAACCACGCGACTACCCCCTAAGGTAGGTGGTACTTTAGTGTGAAAAGGTTCAATAAAAGCAGATAACTACTCAGAATCCAAACGTCAGTCACTCTTATTATAACGTATAACGAAATTCAGATGATAAACCCATAGCTAGACTGGCATATAAACCGCTCATTCTTTTGGCTACGTTTATTCTTGAATTTTCATATTAGGTCACCATCTTCTTGCGCCAAAGACAACATCAATAAGCAGCAAGAACTAAAGGCTGTTCTCTACCTCCCTGGCTCCGTAAGACGACATACTTACCTCAACGTTGACCTTGCAAAATTGAATTTGCTTTTGAAACAAAAAAGTTATCACCGTGTTTGAGCCCTGGCTCGGAATAAGCGATGCCTTTCAGATTCCCCGACAATGGCCTCGGAGTTGCGGTTCACCACGAGGACCTTGAAACAGATCTCGAATTTCTTCGCGGGCTATCACCCAAATGCTGTTCCGACCTGACGGAGCTGTCTGTTTCCTTACATTTGCACGACAAATACCCAATCCTAGGCAAGTGTATCCCTCTCAGTCAAAAACAGATTGCCGGTAGGTGTTTAGAAGAAACTAGACCGTGCGGATTCTGCAAAAGCTGCCTCGTCGACAAAATAGAAACCTGGCTGGAGCAGACTGTCATGGGTGACAAATACGATAGCCATGCGATTGGAAAGTCGGACGAAACACCCAGCAACTGGCTTATTAAGGAATGGAAAACGTTTGTTTTCTGGAATCGTACTCGCGGTTATTAAATTACCTAAAGTACCTCCTAATCCTTATGGTGCTTATAGTGGGGACTCTGGATTACTAAGTCACCTGATGGTTTATTTAAAGGGGCCCCTTTTAAATCCCAGTACCTTAATACTCATATGCGCATCGTATCCATGTCAAGCTGGTGGGTGTTGAGTTTTCAGTACAGAGTAAACTTCTCCCTTGATTTTGTATAGAAGATGGCAACAGAAACCTTGATCGCTGTGGATGAACAAGGTAGCTTATGTCAAAGGTGTAAATTATTATTTTCAAGGGATGGCTTCTCACAACTACTTTCTACAAATACATTCAGACACTCAAAACTTGCGACTTTCCCAGACCGACCAGATTGCCGATTCTGTAGTTACCTTTGGAACGAGGATTTCATCGGAGGGTCTATAAATGTGCTCACAACGCGACGCCTGCGCGATTTGATTTACCCTACATCTGGTAAAATAAAACCAGAGAAACAACATGAACTTGCCGCATGCTGGGTAGTCATTACGCGTCCCATAAGAAACCAATACATTATGGGAATTTCTGGAGCTGTCGCTAGTCTAGAACCTCTTACGATAAACACTGACTTGATTCAAGTTCAAGGTGTTGACAGAATATTCATAGCCATAGAATCGGACGGAGGACGTACTAAGTGGCAGGCATTCCGGCCATTGCGACTGGTTGTTTCTAAAGGTACCTAAGCCTCACTTCTCGTAGGCTTAAATGTTTACAAAATACGCTTTTGGCCAGCTGACCATAGTTTTTTAGATAGTCCATTAGCATCATTTACCAATTTTCGACCTATTGAATGGGATGGTTTAACTAGGAGATGGACCGACGATATTAAGTCGATGCTTGAACATTGCCGAACATCGCACCCTCAATGCCAACCATCTGGCCCAACGCCACTTCCATCACGGCTGTTGCAAATCAGGGGAAGTAAGAAGGCCTTTCCAGAAGTACGACTAGTCGATACGAGAAAAGGATTCGGAAAAGAATTGTATGCAGCCTTGAGTTACTGCTGGGGAGGCCCGCAGCCACTGGAACTAACAAAAGATAATCTCGACGTTCTCCTTAACAATGATCTAGACAGCGTTTCCCTCCCACAGACAATAAAAGACGCAATTCTAGTGACACAATCCTTAGGGTTGAGTTACTTATGGATAGATGCATTATGTATCATTCAAAATGACCCCGAGGATAAGAAGAAAGAAATCAGCCAGATGTGTACCATTTATCAAAACTCTTTTGTTACTATCGCCGCTGCTATATCTACCTCCGTTCATGAGAGTTTCCTCAATAATGCGGCAACGTTCAATACACGACATGCCACCTGCACTGTCCCTTTCACTGATAGTTGCGAGGACGGCTGTGATCTTAAAAGTCTCAATAGCATCACTATCTCACCTGTACACGCGCATAAGACCGACGTTTTTCCTTTGAATAAAAGGGGTTGGACATTTCAAGAGGCTCTGCTCCCTCCACGACTACTAGTATTCGGAGATCTCGAACCATTCATCCGATGCCGAACAAAGAATGTGATGAAGAAATCATGGAGCTCCATCGACTACGAGCTTTCTGCTGTGTACCCTCGGCGAATCATTGATAGCATCGCAAGTCGTCAAGCTCACGAAGACGGCCTATTTGTGGATACGAAAGGAGGCGACCTCGACAATATCTGGCGAGAGATCGTGGAGCAGTACACTCTTCGCCAGCTCGGTTATTACACAGACAGACCGGTCGCTATCAGTGGTGTGGTAGACTTCCTTTCCAGCACTTTTCAGGATAAGTGCCACTTCGGCGTCTGGGAGTCATCACCAATAACAGGGTTACTATGGAAGACTATGCCCTTAGATGAACGAAGGAGTATCATCGGCCTACCAACTTGGTCTTGGATGTCGATAACCGGTTCCGTAGATTTGGATTGTGTTGTTTACTTTGACAAGCCAGAAGCGTTAGTTGAGTGGGACACCAATTCTTCGCACAGTCGGCTACTGGTATCGTGCCATGTTTTAAAAGGAGAAGGTGTATTTACTAGGACGGGAAAGACTGGTCCTAAGGTACTGATCGAATGCTGGTCTGATTTTTCCGAAGGCTCAGCTGAATATCACTTCCTACCAGAAGAGCAGTCGTCGTTCCTAGTGCTCGCACGCGAGACAAATGGGCGCTTCCTGGCACTGGTTGCGGCGTGCCAAGGGGACAATGTTTATCATCGGTGCGGATTGGCTGAGCTGAATATTCCAAGCAACTGGCAGTTGGGATTACGCAATCAGATTGTTCTAGTATAATGCTAATGCAACGGCTTATTAAATTTTAAGAGTAAATATAAGGGTGTCTTATTTTATTGCTTCCCTCTTTCTTATCTCTGCTAGGATAATTACTTGATTGATGGTTTTAGAAGAATGAGGTTTCATCTTAGAATGCGTGGCTAGGTAATACTCTAGTAGGAGGATTGCATATAATTATAGCGACGCTAGGATCAACTTTAGAAGGCGATAGAATAAGGTATATTGAAGCGAGTCTCCAAAAGGTTACTGACATATATAGCCTTAGTAGGTACATTACATTTCGGTGAACTCCAAGTATCATTTCTTGGTTATTATACGTACTAAGAGTACGTGTATTTACCTGATTGGTAGATTCGGTATCATTCCCCGGTCTGAGTGGCTCGCCGGCGTAGCAGCTGGAGAAATTTCCGCGCGCTGAGGTGTCCGGGGCTGAATATTTGGCGCCGTTCCGAGAATGACTCGAACGGTATATGAACACTTTACTCCGAATCGATCTTAAAATACCTATTACAATATTCCCAAACCTATTGGGTACATAAAGCCAGGTATCATCGCGCTTCAACCCCTTAACTTTTGGAGTTGTCTTTATATAAAAACGACTTATTTATTATGGCTACCGAGAATGGCACGGGAGATACGGCTGACGGGGGTGAAAATAGGAATGGCGTAGATAATCGTGCCCGTCGACCTGCGAGTACACCGACATCTAATGCTTCGCTGTCAAAAAGAGCGCCGACCGAGTACACACCTAAAATAACTTGGCATGTCTATGCTAATTTCCCCCCATATAGAGTGGAATACCATACCGTTCACGAACGGAAGAGTTTATGTGTCAGGTCGTGGTTTCTTAATCCATCCTCTAGCATTATAACTAATACGTACGAACGACAATTATCCGGGGTATTTTCAGGGATGGGTGGACTTCAACGGAAACGTGAAGTTGAAAGAATGAGGTCCCCTTATCCTACTACTTTTCAAGAGACGGTTGATGCGCAACGGCAGGCAATACAGGGGAATAATTCTCGGATGGCCGACCTACCACATGCTGAGCGGAATAGCCAGGTGAGGAAAAGGGGCTATAACAATCACTGGTTTGGCATTACGCGGACTTCGGCCATTAAGTCCAATATTCAAGTTCCGCCGGTCTACGTAGTCCTAGGAACATTCCCCCGTAGCCAGGCCTATCCACGAGAGGTGGTCGTATTCATCGAAGACGCCACACAATTCTTCCGACGGCTCAGTTGGGCTACCTTCCGTTTGAGAGGCCTAATGAGAAGTTTATTTTCCCTCAGACACGTCACAGAATTTAGGATATATAAAGTATGTGGCTTCTGTATCAAAGGCACGTTGTACGGTTAACATAATTTACAGTGTGATGCGGAAAATGGAACCCACGAATCTATCAAGCTGGACAGCGACGGTGTCGCGGATTTGGGATTGCTTTTGCATACGTATAATCAATGGCGTGTCCCCGACTATATGGCACAGGCCTGGGCAGACTGGGTCCATCAGGTGCTAAATAACGGTTCACACGACGTACTCAAGGGCTCATACTCGCTCGAGCTAGTGCTAGGATGGTCGGCGAATAGAATCTCAGTTGTAATACTGTTGCCGGTACTACTGAGCTTAGCAATTGGTATCTGGTTGAATTCGAGGGATTGGTCAGATTTAGCAACTATACAGACCGCTTGGGGTACTGCATCTTATATCGTGACGGCGGGAGGTAGTAAGTTCTTCCTTCACTGGATGGTAATAGTTAGAAGGCTAACGCGTGTTAGTAACTGCGGCATTATTAGGTATCCTAAGCAGTATTGCAGACAAATGATAGCCTACAAGAAGGTTCCGTCTCAGAATCAGCAACTATTCCTAGGATTATTAGTAGTAATCAATATTTATTGATCTTGAGGAGTAAAAGTTTGCCTTCCACCTAGGCTTATCTTTCAATATTTCAACATAATTCAACTAACCTAGTTGGATAATTATTTCATTGGTAGTGGCAAGATATTTGGGTGATATAAAGGATCATTTATATCCGTTTCTATACTCCACCCCCCGGTAGCAAATATCAACAGCGGTGAATGTAGTGGTCTACCTTCTATTCAGCCCGTATAAACGTGTTTCTCTTGATCTAGTCTGGTAATGATGAAAAATGGATAATAGTTCATTTATGGTGCTCAGTTACAAAATGCAATCCGATCTATATGACCATTAAGGTTAAGTATTCGCCGCTAACTCCAAGGTGAATCAACAATTTTCGTGGAGTTTCATAAAAAGACGAGACCCCCTAATTGCAAATGAATCCTATAGCTCTTGACACCTGCTTATTACTAATTGATACATCCACCTTGCAGAACAGCTTAATTATATCCTATGATTCCTTCTGCGATGGGATCTATGGCGTGTTGCGACCACAGGGTAACTCTGCGACCAATGATTCCCTCACCTCCAACCTCGATTTTCATGGGATGACTAAGAGGTACTTCTATCGAATGTTCCTGGTCGTCTTGTAATGTTGGTTGTGTCCGTGTCAGGCTGAATTTATAGAGAAAAGGACTTATTATAGCAGACCTCGTGAGATCTCCAGTCTCACTATACAAGCCTTGTTAGCGTTGTTACTCGCTCCGGGTCTTTATTGGCCAGGTTTTTCTAGAAATAGAGATACTTACTGGATACCAACGATACATGAATCTAAATTGGTGAAGCTACTGTTGCCACTGTTTTCGTCGGGTACGAACGTAGCATGAGTAGCGACAGAACTTCCCTTCCCACAGTCGTGAAATGTGAGTCGACCTGTCGTTACTGCAGGCATGAATCGAGTGGTTCTTAACGGAAGACTGAGTACGGCGAGAGCACCGCCGCGAGAGTGTCGAGAATGATTGCCACACATTGTTTATTATTTGGATATTTTCTTCGAAGATTGTCGTTCAGAATGAGGACCTGCCCAGCTCAATTGAACAGGGAGAATAATAATAGGTGAAGCTGTAAATAATCTGCTTGGGAAACCAAGTTGACTGAAAAATAATATAATACTGAAGGATCTAACTGTTTAACTTTTTAACAAACAGCATTGAGTCTAGAAAGTTAGATGAATATATCGTGCCAAGGATTCAGGAGTAAGAATCGGTTCTGTTGGCCCTCAAGGTTCCATAATGCAGCTACACCAATAACGGCACTATGTACTATTCCAATCTAGTCGTCTCTTTGATACGGAATATCCCCTATTATGTAACTCCATAAGCAAATAAGAGCATATTAAGTACATTACCTAGCAGGAAAGTGAGGGAGTTGTGGTTGTTACAGCTTTCACGCGTAAGTTGAGCAAGTTTGCGCTCTTTGAGGCCGTTTCGCGACCCGCTTCCGGGAAACCGTCACACAAACACAAAGTTTAGTGAGTAACCAATCATTGTTAACCGCTCTTACCCTTGATAGATGGCGTACCTGCTATATCAGAATAATTGGAACTTAATGTAATAAGGTAGGTACCTATTCGAATATGATGTAAAGAAGACGCAAGAACGCGGGGAAGAAGGAAAGAGGACCTTGATGTCATCTGGCACCTGCTATTTTGTGTTTGTCATCATTATCGTGCATCGCCCAAGAGTTTTTCATCTTACAGCACGCCACTTTGCCCTGCTTTGCCTACCTGTACCCTTTTCACTCCTACTTACCACCAAACCATTCTTCGTACTCTCTACGATATTCTCTGTAACTACCTAAGGACTCCCCTAGTAGATATCTATCAGAATACATCTCAAAATGGCCGCAAAGACGTACTCCCTTCCCCCGCTCCCGTATGCGTATGATGTAAGTCTCATCCTGCTTGTAGCCCGGCTGTCTCTCTACGAAAACAGCACTCCCCTACTAACAACATGGCGCACTAGGCTCTGGAGCCCAGCATCTCTAAGCAGATCATGGAACTGCATCACACCAAACACCACCAGACCTATCTCACGAACCTCAATAAGGCCCTTGAGGCATCAGCTAAGGCTCATTCGAATGGTAAATTGCAGGATGCTGCGGCCCAGCTGTCGGCCATCCGTTTCAACGGTGGCGGTCACATCAACCATTCGTTGTTCTGGGAAGGTCTAGCGCCTTCCTCCTCTCCCGACTCAAAGCTTGATGCCGCTCCTAAGCTCTCCAGTGCTATCAAGGACACCTGGGGTAGCTTCGACAAGTTCAAAGAGGCCTTTGGAACCTCTCTGCTGGGCATCCAGGGGAGTGGCTGGGGTGTAAGTACATTTTAGATATTATCTCTCTGTTCTTCACTGTCCTCGACATTCATATCTTCAAACTTATCTTTTAGATTGGTTAAAACGTATTACCAATTACCTAGTCTATTTGACAATACGCCGAAATGACCATAGCTAACTCTATCTGATGACGTAGTGGCTTGTCAAGGAAGCTGGCACCGGTCAGCTCCGCATTGTGACTCTCGCGAACCAGGAGGCGGTTGTCGTAGGCGATACTCCCCTCCTTGGCGTAGACATGTGGGAGCATGCATATTATCTTCAGTATCTCAACGGGAAGGCGGCTTACGTCGAGAACATCTGGAAGGTGATCAACTGGAAGACTGCCGAGGCGCGATACGCTGGAAGCAGAGATGACGCCTTCAAGATTCTCAAGGCCAACATGTAAAGGTAGATAACTAGATGACAGAAGTGTAACAGATATCTGCCACAGGCTATTAATTTAAGGAAGTGGGCTTGGTCGGGAAGACGCGTTCTCCAACGGAGTTTGAAGACTATTACGTTCCGATTGTTGCCCTATAGCTAAAATAAATTAGGGGACGTGCCAACCACTTTCCACTGTAGGTTCGTTAATGACGTAAGCCCTTGATAAAGTAGAAATTATGTGAAACTGCATGAAAAATAATTAGGTAGGTAGTAAATCACCTTAGAAGGATTATGTAGTCTCCCCTTATCCCGTTATGTAATGCAGTTTTAGCACTTAGTGTGCTGCCGTGTAACATTAGATCTGTTTAGTGGCACCCACAGAAAGATAATTGACCCACTGATCTGATTTAGTGACGGTATTTCCATTTAAAACCGCGGGGATATTTCGTCGCGTTTTTGATGTCTTCACGCGTCAAGCTCTAGACTCGATTTCGAATTCAACCACGATGACGTCGACTAGGTTACCGCTGGATTCTACACCTCTTTCTTCACCCGTTTCGTATGCGACAGCGACAGAGTCTCCACGGAACACATTATATGCTACAACAACAGATATTGGCAGCCCTATCGTCAACGATGGAGATGCAGCCGACAAATCGTATAGCAAGGCTAGCCAGCTTCCCCCGGAACTTAAGCAGCACTGTCAAATTTACTTGGAGGAGAATTTGTGTATGCTTATTTTCTCTCAAGAATTTGTTGTGGGCGGTTTTCACTGATCATAGGCTGTTGTTCTCTAGACCTAATTACTCTCAACCTTTTAAATAGCCTATTATCATCTAGTCGCAGGAGTCCAAATGATCCTTATTACTGTCCCCCGCCGAACCAATTGTCGCTGCTCAGCACAGCTGTCGTACACCCGAAATTTACAACTAGGCCGAGGGAAGAGGGCTGGTCCGAGGTATCTGCCGAGTCCCTTGTCTACCTACGAAGTCTCCTTTCTCGCTTAGGACCTATTAACGGCCGATTTAAGGAGGCTTTCCGCTTTGCGAGTGCCTCGCGAAATGGCACACCGGAGTCTTATTCGGGCGATGATCAGGATTATGGCGGCGACGACGATGGTGGCGAGGGCACCTATTCGCAAATGCGACGTAGACACTACCAAGATGGTCTTTGGCGACGGGGGCAGGACTTCTTTCACGTGGTCGGCTGGGCATTCAATTGCAGCGTTCTCTACCCAAACCGCTGGCAACACTGGAGACATTGGCTCAAATTCATGATAGACCTATTAGAGCAAGATCTCATTGAACGCCATAATCTAGACATCGAAAATAGCCAGTCGGACTGCCCTATGCTTCGGGATTCAATTCTGGCCGGTTACGTTGCCCAGCGCTCCGGACGCTCTGCAGGAGGGTTGAAATGGATCATGGAAGCCATATTTGCTGACGGCGGTGTCGCCGCAAGTTCTCGTTTCCAGGAGATCTGGCAAAAGGAACACAAGGAAAATACCAAAAGTACAACGAAGAAAAGGAAGCGCGAAACGGTCAATATTGACAAGGGCAATTTTGGAGGCTGGTTGGATGATGAATCGGTATATTCTTCTCAAACGTCTGAACCGCCGACACCACAGAAACGAAGGGTGAATTCGGGTGATATGGGAAACCCAGATTTCCAAGCGTTGGAGCCCGCCTACGTAGAGTCAATTCCTCTACGACAACGTCTATTCTCCTTGGTAAGATAATTCCCATTCGTAAGTGGTACGGAACCATGTCGCAGGCTAATAAGTAGAACAGTTATCATATCTTTCTCACCACCTCCCAAGACCTCTGTTGGACCTCTCTGACCTTTATCAGAGGTTCGAAACGACGGTGAAGTCCCTTCCTTTGCCTATATTTACTGCCTTTGTAAACAATCGGACGTCGGCCCTGAAGCTAGAGTCGCAAATATCGACATTACAAGGTATTCTATTGCTCTTAATGCCCACGGCAGCTCTTTCGCCAGCCAAAGTCGACCGTACCTGGCAAGATTCAGATGGCATTACTACTGAAATATTAGAACGTTGTTTTCTTCCTTACACTGCAAACACCATCGCAGTCGAAGACAACGCGAAGGTATCAATACTACTTGAAAACTTGTTTCAGATCTTGTGGTGCGAAGGAGGTGGAACGCTGAGCAAAGGCCTCAGAGCAGCAACTGAGAAAGGAATTGCTGCGAGGGAGGCAAAGGTCAAAAGGAAGAAAACGTCAGCCCGGGGACGAATAAATACCGAAGACCCGGACGTGGAAGCTCACCTTGTGTTAGAAATGTCAGGGGGAAGGTTACGCGTACTACTCGACCTTATCGAAGCCGAAAGTAATGGTGATAGCGCAATGGAACCGGAGGCGATGGATGAGGATGAGGATAACGAAGGTATGCATATCATTCTCGAAGAGTAATTCTTATATGCCCTTATCGTCAAGTACTGATTAAACATGTAGATGATATTGATGCGACTTTTATGACAGCTGCCGATAACATGGAGAAGTATCAAGACGAAGCTGAAGAAAAGTTATACTGTTTGTGCCAGGACAAGGAGTCCGGCAATATGATCGCCTGCGACAACCAAAACTGCCCATACGAATGGTTTCACTGGAAATGCGTCGGCCTCAAATCAAAGCCCAGAGGTAAATGGATGTGTCCCGAGTGTGCACGTCCCAAGCGCGGAAAGCGGAAGTAATGTTTGGTTAATGAGTTTACAAGGCGGCTAAAGAAAGCAGCCAGCATCGGTACTCAGATGTATATCTCTGGTGTGGAGGGGATTAATATCCTTATTTTATGTGAGCCTAGGCGGCTCTAATGGTGGTATTGGTGTGTCTATTAATGCAACATAGAATCCATGAGCTGTCTCGTTATACTATTTACATGATATTATGATATACATAGGTACATACCATTGCTCACGCAATAATACAAATCTATACACCATCCGCGGCTTTCTGTAAACTTCTTCTCACCGTTTCTTCGCCGGGGCCGGACTCCACGCTTCTGGTTGCCAAGTTTCGCCGGGGCCACTGCTCCGTGCGCGTTTCCAGGGGTCATCCTTTTGTTGCGTTACTTCGTCGCGCCCATTCCGAGCCGGTGATTCACGGGCCGCGCGCTCCTGAGGTTGTGTCCGACCCGTGTTGAGCGGAGGCACCGGTTGTCCCCTCTCGCGACCCGGCACGTCAACCAGGCTAGGCTTAGCTTCCCAGCGCGCATCAGCCTCGGCTGCAAGGACTTTAATGCGCTCTTGGCGAACGACGTCACCGGCCTGTTCGTCAAGAGTCGGGGGTTGCTCGCGCTGATACCGAAGCCACTGATGCCACGAGGGCGGTACTTTGACTTCGCTGTAGTACGTAGACCGCGGATATTTGACGATGCGCCGGAACCGGGACTCCGGGGCGGATGGATCGCCGCGGACTAAGCGGAATTCCCAATATGTATTGCCTTGAAGGTCGAGGCCTGAAATTCAAGGGAAAAAAGATAGCATGTAAGTTAATTATTCGAGATAAGCGAGTTGATGGTATTATGAAAAGGGAAAGGGGTAAGTGAAATAAGATAATATTAGAACTCACCGACGAGAAAGCGCTTCCTCCACGGCAGACGAAGAGCCTTCCACTGATACCAGGCCTTTCGTATAGGACCTATTTGCTTTACGGTCGACATTGGAATACGATTATATTTATAAGGTACATATTCGAGTAGGATTTGGTAAAATTAGTATCTTTTTAAGGTTCGTATTAAGACAAAGTACTGTGAGCTTCAAAGCTACCAAATTACCGACAATCTTATTAGGTCTCAAAAGCCCAAGTCGAAAGTCGACGTCAGAATTATTGAAGATGCGATAAGATAAGCAAACATATGCCATATGCACCGCCACGGACTTTTATTTTCAAAAGTGCCATCAGGCGTGCCACAGCATTCAGGGTCTCATTTGCCAAATATTCTCCGCACGCAAGCCCCATCTGTAAGTCAGACCGAATCAATTAATGCCGATGGGAAACGTCATCCCTGTCGCGCAGCCTAGGTATTTCCTAATTGTGCAATGGCGTTAGTGGGGGTGTGGAGCCCTACCATCTTCATATTCCTCATTAAGACGGCGCAACCGCCATCTCAACTTGTTATCTTTTAATAGACGCATATTCGCTGATTTAGTATTGTAGAAAATACCAACGCGTCGTCAATTCTCATAATTCATAGCGTTCTAATCACCATCTCCAGTCATTTCTTCCTTCACTCTCACTCTCATTCCTTCGTCTATCCGCATACCAATCTCGTCGCTGGTGACGTCGTCTCATCTCATCCGACGTATACTCGATTCCAGCCAGCAATTCTCCGAACTGCAAATCACTATTACTACCTTCAATACATACGAATCACTTTACTGCGCCCATAGTTACCTTCCATATATTACTACCTAGGTACTAATCTAATCACATTGATCATCAATAGTTACCTATTAGTTAACTCGCAGCAACCATTGCGCATCAGAACCGCGCGAATAGAATCCCGAGTTAGTATGGCATCAGTAACATCCTTGGACAAGGACTTGCGAAAGTTGCGTCTCGAAAAATATACGCCAGCTGCTGCGAACGAGGCACAGTCGTGGATTGAGGGTGTATTAGGTAGCAGACTTCCATCCAACGATCTTCTCGACGGACTTAAGGATGGCGTTGCTCTATGCAAGTATGTTCAAGTATACATACACACTACTGTATCTTGTAATTTAACTAATGATTTCCCTTTCTTGTAGACTCATTAATCTGGCTGTCGGTCCGCCCGGCGTTAAATTCAAGCAATCTGCTATGCCATTCATCCAGATGGAGAACATCTCCCATTTCCTTCGTGCCTGCCAATCGCCACCCCTGAATTTACAAGATCACGACGTGTTTCTTACAGTCGATTTATACGAGCGGAAAGACCCTGCCCAAGTTCTCCAGTGCCTCGGCGCTTTCTCTCGAGCCGCGCATTCCCTTAACCCCTCCGCATTTCCCTCCCCCATTGGATCAAAGGCGAAAATAACCACCACCATGAGCCCGCAGAGCACAGGTCCAACGACCCCGCGTAATAGAAAATTGTCCAATGTCAGCAACAACTCATCTACGTACGGTTCACGGTCTGGTATAACCCCTACGAAAACTGGAGACTCGGGCTCGGGACGCTGGAGTCCTACTAAGAGTCCACCGCCATCGAGCGAACGTATAGGATCGCCGTCTGTATCTAGTTGGAGCAAGAGAGACCTCGAAGGGGTTACAAGCCCCGCATGGAACATTGCGCAGTACGGCTATATGGGCGGCGCAAGTCAGGGCAACCTAGGTATATCCTTCGGAGGGCGGCGGCAGATTACCAGCGCTAGTCCTCTTGTCCCCAACTTGGCCGATAAGGAGCGCAAGCGCAAAGAGCAGGAGGCCGAGGTTGAACGACAGAGGTTGCAAGCAGATGACGAGGAACGTATCCGTAAGGCTGGGCTAGAAGCTGAAGAGGAACGGGCACGGTCAGTAGAGGAGCATAAATGGGAGGAAGAGACGAGACGGCTACGCACTGAAGAAAAGCGCAAGGCGGAAGAAGAGAAACGTCGGTGGGAGGAGGAAGAGCGCCAATGGAAACTAACAGAGGAAAAACGAAGGAGGGAAGAAGAAGAAGCCGAAGCAAAATTAGCCGAAGAGCGCCGTCGTGCGAAGGGTCAAAACGATAGCCGATTACAAGGGCAATTCCTTAGCCAATACCAGGCCGAACACGATATCACGCCGCAAAAGAGTGGCGGTGGCGGATATAGCGATCGCATCAAACAGTTAGAGCAAGAACTAGAGTTGGCAAGGAAACGAGAGACGGAATATGAGGAAGAGCGACAGAGGCGGTCACAGAACCGAGCGCGATCTCGTAGCCGGCCAAAAAAGGTAGAATCTAGGCCACCTAGTCGCCAAGACTCGTGGCGACCGAAAGACGAGCGCGAGTTCCTCAGTACACAATGGAATCGACGCCAGCAAGAGCAGCGAGAGCGAGGGCAACAACAAGAACCACAGCAGGACACTGCTCCTCCGCCTCCGCCGCGTCCACTCCCCGTACCTGGATTGGCTGCTCCAATAAAAACCAATCGCACAGGAGAGAACCCACCCGTTCCCGTAAAATCTCAAAGAACTGGGGAGAGTAGGCCCCTTCCCATTCCGGACCGGATTAAGAATCAGGCAATCGGTGGCTCAAGTCCAAACCCGTCGGCACGGCCCCTTCCTGTCCCATCCTCGAATTCCAACGGTAATCGTACGGATCGCTTCCTCGCCTCCAACCCGGCGCCCGCTCCGGCTCCTCCGCAGCAAACTTACTCTCGTGAGCTCGACGCCACAGCAGAACGTGATGCGGAGGACAGACGACGAGCCGAATCACAAGCTAAGACGAAGGCAGGCGGCTGGGCCGGCAAGTCTTTACTGGAGCGCGAGATGGAAATGGAAAGGCAAAGACAGCGCGAATGGGAAGAGTCACAGCAGGAGACGGCTAAGGCGGTTAGAGCAGGCGATGGTGTAGATGGTATTGGCGGCGGAGTTGGTGGCCGGTGGGACGTTAGTCAGTGGAGCGGATACACTGGCGGCGACAGCCAAAACAATGGATCTGCGGGTATCGGAGCTGGAAGGAGGCAAATCGTTGGGCCTAGGCCGTTACCAAACAGACCCGGGCCGTGAACGACTCCCCCGATGGAATAGTGCGGGATTAGTTATCTACCTGTTCCCAGCAGTGTACTTAAGGTCATTTGAGGAATAGAGAACCAATAACGACATTATGCAATATATTTCATCAAGTTCGGCATTAGAGTATTGTCGGCTTCTTATTTGAGGACAATTGTGAAGGGGAAGGGAATTATGAGTTTGAGTTATATTCAAGTCGGCCTTGGCTTGTCGTGAAATATAAAGGCAATTATTTGAAGCAGTAAGCGTAGGTATCTTTCTACCTTCGTTCAGATTTTATTATGTCGGTAAGAGTATCCGTCGAGTTACAGATCCGATAGATTCTTCATTACATGTTTTGCAACTGAATCTGTTCGAACCTACATTGTGGGAACAACTATTTCGCTATTTTCAAATTAGGTACAGTCTGAGGGAAAGTAAAGAGGATTCGGGTTTTGCAATCGAGTTCTAGGGATAGGCACTATCCGTGTCGTATGAGGAAGTATGGTGTTTAATAGATGACAGACTACCTAATGTAATTATCGTAGGAAACTAAACGAATACCAAACCTAAACTTCAATTCTTGTCACTTTGGCCGTTCTAATATCATGTACCATTCCATACGTATTTTCCGCCGGCTCCTTTCTGACGAGAGGATGTGACTTGAGAAAATTCACGTTATCTCTGACTTGATCAAAGTTGCTATCAACCATAAGTGACTCGAGATCATAATATTTGGACAATGAGTGGAAACTTACTCCTTAAAAGACCCAACGTATAGATCGTCGATCTGCTCGTCACGGCTGGTAAGTCTTTCCCTCAAGCTCGTGCGGATAGCATCATCCGTCACATACAGATAAGTGTGTGAGCCCTCGTAGAAACGGGTACATCTCCATGTGTGAATTTGATTAATGATATGACGCTATGCGTAGGATATGTGATCAAAGATGCGGCTTAATTACCAACCAACATTATAAAGCAGTATCGAGGAGCCGAGATATGCGGTATCGTCTCACACGAAAGACCCAATATTATCCCTATTATAACCGCACTACCGACTGCGCATCCGTCGTAGTTCTTATATCGCTATCGTCTAAGGAGCTTTTGAGCCAACAGTAATTGAGATCCGTCCCCTGCGGCCCAACGTTGTAATAGACAGCGCCCGTGCAACGTGTGTTTTTAGCACATAGCGAAACACATTCCTTCATCGATTCGGCCTTGAGGTTCTCGATATCGCGGCCTTGATGTGCTACGTCGCACTCGATCCTAAACTTCGTTCCAGTGCCTGAGTCTGTATACGTACTTCCGTCGGTGCCCAGACAGCTGCGTACTGGGCTCGGAGTAGCTGTAGGTGACGCACTTGTACTAGAGGATGGAGTCGTCGTGGGATTTGGAGAGCCTGTAGACTTGGTTGAGTTAGTAGCGCACAGTAGCAGAGGTTGTAATCGCAAAGTTCTTGTTATAACCGATGACTCTGCCATAACACGGAAGGATACTATAAGACTCTGGCTTACTTGATTTTCACCTACCGCCGGCGACGATGCTGCCGACCTATCGGGGAGAAATCTTCATTAGCAATTATCCTACATCAAGGATGAAAACAGTAGAATATATTTACTTACGAAGCTTTGATGGCTTGGTTCCTCTGGGTTACTCCAACCGCCGCGCCGACAGCCGCTCCCACGAACGCAACTACGAACATACTTATTAAGAGTAACCAGAATACTCTTTTTCGAAGTCCAAGTATGGTAGGCGGTTTAGAGGCGGCGGCGGTATTCTCAGTTGATTCAGTATTCCACTCATTGTGTTCGTCTTTCATATAGTTATCCGGGGTGCTTATAGCCTGCGGCTCGTAGAAGACCTCTTTTCCTGGAGGGACGTTTCGTGGATCGGGTGAGCCAACTTCAATCCCTTCTACTGGAGGATGTACTTCTGGTGCTAAGGGATCGTGGTCAAGGATCTTACTCCCAGCACCCATGAGTACAAATCTCTTCTTAGTTCTCTCTGGAGTCATTGAGTTCTCTCTGCCCTGACCAAGATGGCCTCCTTCAGCACAGTCCCAACACACAGGCGTTCCCCTCCCGTCAGAGTAATGAGGACAGACCACATTTAAGTCGGATCCGGCGGCGGTATTGTTTGCCATGTCCCGCGAGTATGGTCGTACTGCGTTTACAAACGAGGAAACGCCGAGCTGCGCGCGACGTGGGAATGATGTGTATACTACAAGAACCCGGGACCGTGAAGTAGAAATGTAGCAAATCACCGAGTGCGACTGAAGAAGATGGGCGGGAAAACTAAAAATAACCGTCTTCTGCTCATTGAGGATTCAATCGAATCAACAATCGGGTATAATCTACCCATACAGTCTAGAACCATCACGGGGCGCTACTACTGGATAGATACCATTCGATACTACGCTCGAGGTTCCATCGGGGGCTAAGGATTCAGCTCAATCCATGGGATCCTTTCGTATAGTATGCAGCTACTTTTAACTGCAGCCTTATCGTGAAATAGGAAAGGGACAGGGGAAAATCCATTGATGTTAATGGAAATCGAACCTAAGCTCTCTTAGCAACCAGATAGGGTGTTGAAAGGAAATGCGCCATCAATATTGGTATAAACGCGATTCCTAACTGAGGCTTGGTCTCCGGAGCGTTTGTCCAGATAGATTTGAAGGATTTCGCGATTGTTATAAGAGAGGTATTCAAGACTTAGCGGCGGGCCGTGCCGTACCGTAAGTCTAAGACATGACTTGACAATCGTATCCCCATCACCACGAATGTAAAATTGATATAATGCCTAAGCTTAGCACCATATTCGTAAAGTTGTCTGGTGATTTGGAGTCTATTATTGAATTGAGGAATCAAATTTCGAAGTTCTACACTGGAGGTGGCTGCTACTACTATGTATGTAACTACCTGTGGCTGGACATGGCTGCATGGCTGAGTTCCCTCTCTGGGGAATTTTGCCCGAGCTGGACGCTATGCCAAAATTAGCATAGCTTATAGGGATCTGATCTACAGGGATCCGGCTGCGGATAATAGGTGGAGTCTGCCCTGACATGTGGTGCTCATGTAAGTACATAGGTACCTACCTAGGCATTGTCCGCCTCGGTGATGTCACAAGCGTCAATTTATTATCCACTAATATCGGCATCAAGATTCTAGCTCATCAAAACATTCTCTTCCCGGCCGTAACCTCTTTCATGCTACCCTGTCAGGTACCTACTCTACTATATCTACCTATTTCTATCTCTTCCCTATTATAAAACATGGGTTTAATTATTACAAGAATCTTACGAGGGACAATACCTCAGCATTTAACTCTGTATCTACATCTGCAAACTGCAGTCCACGGCCTTGAATAACCTTAACCCTGGCTGAAGCTAACGATGAGTCGACATCAACGTCACCGTTATTGTAACATGCCCCCTATCTTTTCTATATAGATCAAGACCTAAGAGTAGAGTTCTCCTCAACACATCGGCTAGATTTCCACCAAACCAAAAGCAAATTGGTGATAAATAATACGTGTTAGAATATTACCGGATGAGACTAGGTTTTAGGTTACAGTTGTATTCGTAGCGATCGTCCACAACAATAGCTCATAGAGTGTAGGCGTCATCTTCAAGGAAACTAATGTGGCTATGCCCCCAATCGAATTAGACAAGCCTTCAACGGCGCCAATAAATGCCGAAGCATCTGAGCAAGACCGACTCCGAGTACGCGATGTTCCGCGAGACGGGCACCGCCGGGCTATCGTCCAAGAGTCGCAAGGCAACCTTGTATATCCAAGCTATATTCCACCGGATATCGAACTACCTATCTCGCGCGAGAGAGCCGTATCGGTTGGCGTACCAGATCAGTTCAAAAGTCCCAGTCCGACCGAGGGTCCCAAAAAATCTAGGTCGGAGCCTGTGAACAAGCAATCTCTCAAGTTAGCACAGTCGTCATCCAGCCCCCAACAAAACCAATATCGGACTTCACCGTTCTCAGCTTTCCCTCTTATGAAGCGAGCAGGAACGAATGTTTCTATGCTTGACATGGCGCTACAACACGCTTATAACGAAAACAAGGATGATAATACATCAGACTCGTCATCGTCGGAAGCGGAAGATGAAGGGAAGGCGACGGAAACGCGTACGGGTCAGTCCTCAGGACAGCCGAAGCAGAGAACATCCCATGACAGATATCGGCGCTTTCGAGTCGCGAATGAATTATATCGAACCAATGGCAAGGTATCCAAGAGAGATGGTCGATTGAATATTACAGTCAATGACACAAGTAATACCGGATATCTCGCGAAGGCGCTTGGTACTGCCGTTAAGAAGGTCACGCCTAGGAAGGCCGAGGAAGGGGAAATTAGCCATCAACTAGCCTCCTCGCAGTTATCTTCGGCCACCACGGTAGCATCGGAGAAATTGAGACGGCCAAAGCTGAATATAGTAATCATGGTCATTGGCTCTAGGGGTGATGCTCAGCCATTCTTGAAGATAGGAAAGGTGCTCAAAGAAGAATACGGTCATCGCGTACGTATCGCCACTCATCCTGCCTTTCGCGACTTTGTCGAGAAAGATTCGGGTTTGGAATTCTTCTCCGTTGGGGGCGACCCCTCAGAGCTGATGGCCTTTATGGTTAAGAATCCCGGTATGATCCCAACGCTCGAGACAGTAAAGGCTGGCGATATTGGAAGAAGACGCGCTGCTATGGCCGAGATGTTTGATGGATTTTGGAGAGCTTGCATTAATGCAACCGATAACGAAAGAGGCATCCACAATATAAAGATGATGGGCGAAAATGATCCATTTATCGCAGACGCCATCATTGCGAATCCACCCAGTTTTGCGCACATTCATTGTGCTGAAGCTCTAGGAATTCCTCTGCATCTCATGTTTACCTTTCCCTACACACCCACACAAGCTTTTCCTCACCCCTTAGCAACGATTAAAAAATCTAATGTGGACCCTGGGTATACTAATTTCATCTCTTACCCCCTAGTCGAAATGATGGTCTGGCAGGGACTCGGAGATCTCGTTAATGATTTCAGAGTTAAGACCTTAGGATTAGATCCGGTATCTACTCTCTGGGCTCCTGGGGCGACATACCGCCTTCATGTCCCTTTCACATATTTATGGAGTCCGGGATTAGTACCTAAGCCCGACGATTGGGGCGAGGAGATAGACGTTTCTGGTTTTGCCTTCCTCGATCTCGCATCTTCTTTTGATCCGCCAAAAGATCTTCTTCAATTTCTCAAGAAAGGGGATATGCCAATCTACATCGGCTTCGGGTCGATCGTAGTTGACGATGCCGAGCGCTTCACAGAGATGATCTTCGAAGCTGTGAAACTAGCTGGTGTTCGAGCCTTAGTATCGAAAGGCTGGGGTGGTCTTGGCCAGGTAGATGTTCCTGATAATATCTACATGCTGGAAAATACTCCACACGATTGGCTTTTCCCAAAGGTTCGAGCCTGCATCATTCACGGCGGTGCCGGAACCACTGCTATCGCACTCAAATGCGGCAAGCCGACCATGATTATACCTTTCTTCGGCGATCAACACTTTTGGGGTTCGATGGTTAGTAATGCAGGCGCTGGACCGGTACCGGTTCCGTACAAGAAATTGAATGCCGAGGAGTTATCAGAAGGCATTAAATTCTGCCTAACGGATGCGGCACTGAAAGCAGCGCAAAAAATATCTAGAGACATCGAACTTGAAGGTGACGGTGCCCAAAACGCGGTGAAGGCATTCCATCGAAATTTAACGCTATCTGGAGAAAATTCAATGCGATGTTCAATTCTTGATGATCGCGTGGCGGTCTGGCGTATTAAGAAAACCAGCATCAAGCTCAGCGCTTTGGCAGCCTACATCGCAGTCAGTCGGGGGTTAATAAATTGGCGGAGACTACGCCTCCTTCGACATAAGGAATGGAACGACTTTGAAGGACCAGGCGAACCTGTTACAGGGGTTGTTGGCTCTATAGTTGGAACAGTTGGCGACGTGTTTAGTGGGATAGGTAGTGTTCCGTACAGACTGGCGAAAACGTCGCATAAGAGAGCTGAATGGAGAAAAGGGAAGGAGAGGAAGCGACAACAAAAACAAGATGCCCTGGCTAAACGCTCAACTGAATTCCCGTTTCCAATCCAAGGAGATAGCAGTGCTGGAACTGATACGAACAGAAGCGGTCTCCTTGGACATGCTTCGACTCATGCAACTACGCCTGCAACAGCACCTCTTGAGCCTTTCCAAGAGGAGTACCTGAACGAAATAGAAGAAGGAATTGGTAAAACTGGCCGAGCCCTAGCACATGCACCTATTGATCTTTCACTCGCGCTGGCCCAAGGCTTCCACAACGCTCCCCGTCTGTATGGCGACGAGACCGTTAGACGTCCAATCCGGGTCACAGGAATACGATCTGGGCTCAAGGCCGCAGGACATGAATTCATATATGGCATCTACGACGGATTCACCGGGCTTGTACGATTGCCAGTTCGCGGAGCTAAAGAAGATGGAATCAAGGGCGCACTCGCGGGTGTTGGCATGGGACTTACCGGATTTATATTGAAAGACATAGCGGCACTAGTTGGTCCAATAGGCTTTACACTCAAAGGTATTGCTAAGCAGGCCGACCGTGGAAAGCAGCCCCTCAAGTACCTCCGTCGCGCACGGATCGCTCAAGCACAATGGGAGCTCGGTGCTCTAACAGAAGCCGAACGCAAAGCAATAACTGACACGGTTCTTAAAGGGTGGCAGGTTATGCGCCGGTTGGCTGATGCAATTATACGGGAGAATGAGAAACGACGGTTTATACCCCGCTTCGGGAGGAAAAGCAAGAACGCTAGGAAGGTTAAGTCACTAGGGAGATACGGCAAGATTCCTGCTTTTGAGAGTGTTGTGGCTGCGGAGAAAGCAATAGAAGCTATCACGCGAGGAGAGGATATCGACGCTGTGCTCGGGAAGCATAGGGGGGGCTCCGAGATGGATAAGGAGGTCGGCTAAGGGATTATCGCGAACTCGACAATGCTAGAACGAGGAGTTGGGGACACTAGTTGATTAAATAATAGAAGGCGGCTAGGGAATGGGGGTAATGCTAAAGGGGAGATTACACAACGAGTGCATTCACCTGTTGTCATGGGTCGGACGAATAACTAAGGAGACCAGGACCTAATACGGAACAAGTAATAAGAGCGAAGTGGAAGCGCCTTGTGAGATTCTATTTTACAGAAATAATGTTTACATCTTAATGTTTATATCTTGATGCTGGTTAGCTTGAGGGTTTTTGAAAGGCACCTATTAATATGTTTGGTTACCACGAAAGTTAAGGATAATATATACGAACGAATAATAGCCTTCTAGTTGATATAGGATCATCTATTAATATTACTACTAGCTTATATAAGGTAACGAGCTAATTTGACTTGAGCACCAAGACCAGCGATTCATCTATCAGTCGCCTATATATCACGCCTACGCCAGTGTTACGGCTGTCCAGCCGATCCGTTGATTAGCCCACCAAGTGAACTTTCCATCTGTCTTGACCACGTCGCTAGTAACGGAAGACTGTCCGAGCGGGAACTTGTTGACGAAAGCAGCAACCTCCGAATTCTACGAGCTAGGCATCTAGCAGTGCGAGTTGGCCGTGCGAGGCCTGCGATATTCCCATCGCGTATTTAACACCGAGGCTCTCGTATACCATCCGAGCAGCGATCGAACAGCCGTGTGTGCTGATGGGTCCGAGATAGTTGATGCCGGAATTCTCAATCACGAGTAATCCCCTCGGCGCGACGAGAGCCATGAGCATATAATGGTCGCATGGCAATACCGTGGTATCAGGAGCATAGGTCGTGAAGTATTTCGGGTTTTAAGGCATCCGGAGCCGCCGTAGTCTTAAATAAAGACCATAGATATTTGGAGGGGAAATTTGATGTAAGGTGGCTTTCCAGCAGCATATCAACTCATCTTCCAAAACCCCTACGCATCAGAAAAGAGGCCCCATAGTTAACTTGGAGTTCCTTGCTTCTTGCTCTCCCTCGTAATACTCCTTTCCGCTCCCGAGGCGGAAAGCTTATATCATAATGTACCTACAGTATAGAACGGCGATGCTGTTTGGATAATGACTAACTATGACTATAGCTAGGTATATAGTTGACTCTGGGATACCATTAGTATGGAGATCTCGGGGTTGTGGTCTTAACGCCGAAGTTTCGGTGATGTTTCCAGAACGAGTGCGTAATGCTCGTAGCGAGGTCTAAATCCTCGATTTTCTTTTATTCAAATAACAAACTATCAAGCAAGTGCGACTAACTGAAATCAGTCGCTAATAATCGAAAGCCAAATACGGATCGTGTTATTTTTGGTGGTGTCGAAAGAGGGACAGTGGTGACAATCCCCCTGCGTTACCCCTCGGACTAACCACCTATCCCGTATCACTACTATACGCTGTATTCTACACATAAAAATGGCAGTATAAAGCTAGCCGGCTACTAAAGAGACTTATTCCGTTGGGCACCTTGTGCATATTCACCTTCCCGGGGTCTCGTACCGACGCTCTTGTTACCTGCGGTACTTGAGTTCCACATATCCGTATAAGAGTCGGCACCGCTCCATTGAGTATGAGAAACTTTTCTACGTGCGAGAAGTTACTCTATAATTTATATCGTACCTCTACACTACCAGTTCGAACTTATTTCTCGAACACCCCAGCTATCTACTCATACTCCTATTGCCGACCATATAAAATGGCTGTGAATTTCGATACTTCGTCGGAAAAGGAGACCGGCCTACTCCGTTTCCTCAAGAGCCAGCTCTTTTTCACACCACCGCCTATTACTCGGGAAGAAGTCGATCTCACTGGCAAGACAGCTATAGTTACCGGCGCAAATGTAGGCTTAGGGTTAGAATGCGCCCGCCAACTCCTCGACTTGGGATGCAAGGTAATTCTTGCCGTGCGTAGCCAGTCGAGAGGCGAAACCGCGCGTCGACACCTCGCCCAAGGCCGCGACGCGCAATGGACGGATATCGAAGTTTGGAAATTAGACCTTAACTCATACGACTCTATCGTGGGTTTTGCTGAGCGCACCAAGACTCTTACAAGGCTTGACATAGCGGTTCTTAACGCTGGCGTTTACAAAGTCGATGAGTCTTTTAACAGCACCACGGGCTACGAGGAAGATATCCAGGTAAACTATTTATCCAATGCTCTTCTCACGCTCCTGTTAGCGCCCATCATGGCAGAGAAGAAAACGGGGAATTCCCCTGGACGTATAGTCTTGGTGTCCTCCGGGATAGCCAATGCGACCAAATTTAATGAAAAGGAGTCGAATCCAATACTTCCCGCTTTTAAAAAGAAGATGGAACCGAAGTGGCTGTTTAAAGAGCGGTATGGCACATCCAAAGTGCTTGTCCAATTGTTTGTGGCAGAGTTAGCAAAGCGAGTTCCATCTTCTGCCGTCGTCGTCACCGTCGCGAACCCTGGCTTTTGCCACGGATCAGAAATCATACGCGACGGAGAGGGACGTTTTGTGGGCTATTTATATAAAACTATGATGGCAACGGTTGGTCGTCCTTGCTCAGTCGGCGCTCGCATATACGTCCATGCAGCTGTGAGCCCTATGTTAGGCGAGACCGTCCATGGGCAGCATGTCGAGGATGCAATGCTTAGGCCGTGAGTTATACTCCTTCCCGCGTGATAGCCGTCCGGATAGATATTAACGAGCTCGTAACTTAGTATGGCACCACTGATTTATAAGCCCGAAGGCAAGCAGGCTGCTTCGAAAATATGGGAGGAGATAATGGATGAATTTATGTTTGTAGGAGTCAGGCAGATTATTGACGGTCTCTCCAAGTCGGTTTAGATTTACCTCGGGATTAATTAACAGGGGTCAATAATACGATACTGCCATAATCGTATAAGATTCTCTAACTCTTGCTTAGTTAGAAGCTGACCACCTCAATGCAACTCTCGTCAAGCTGCAAATTCAACCTGTATATGCTACTAGTATTAAGGAAACAGCCACTAAAGATAATCCCCGAACCAATAGGAGGCATATAATATAGTTCGTTGAGGATACTAGAACACGCGAGCCTCTCCATCTGTTGGGCAGTAGAAACAAGACGAGGAGTAATACCCCGATATATGAAAAATGTTTAATATCAACGTACCCTGTATCAATTCCATGTCTATATATAGGGCGCAATACCTACTCGAAAGGTGCAGGATGTGCAACTAGGGTGATATCACGAAATTCGTCTAAATAAGTAGCTTTCCTAAATCGGGAATGAGTCATACCGGGGCTGAGATTTATCGTTCTATAAGTACGAGAGCTTACCCCGAGTATCAATCATGGTATTGCTTACAGCAGCTATTCACCTCTATCCACCACCGTCGTTGGTTTACTGACTCAATTATACAAAGATCTAGCGACTACATTGACTTGAATTATTCGCTGAAATATTTACAATTAATATTATACGAAAACCCGACCAAGGGACTTATATTTACAATTAATATTATACGAAAACCCGACCAAGGGACTTATATTTCACCATGGCAGACTCTACCTCACAATCAACGCCCGCACCGATAGTAACAACAGACAAATGCATCATACGTGCATACGTGCCAAGTGACGCCGAGGGCGCGGTGGCGGCAGCCAACTTCCCAGAGCTTGTACAATACATGCGCAATACCTTTCCTCACCCCTACACACTAGACAGCGCCAACCGCTGGATCAACATTTCCTTAAACAGCAACCCCATGGTAAACTTCGGCATCTTCACGCCCGAAGGCACCTTCGCCGGGGGCATCGGGCTTACTCCCCACCAGGACATCGAGTATCGCACGTGGGAGATCGGGTACTGGGTCGGAAAGGAGTTCTGGGGGAAGGGTATTGCGACGAGTGCTCTCGAGGGGTTTTCGGCCTGGGCTTTCGAGCAATTCCCGGAGCTGGTAAGGATCGAGGCTGGCGTGTTTATCGAGAACGTTGCTAGTCAGAAAGTTTTGGAGAGGGCTGGTTATACTAAAGAAGGAATAAGAAGGCAGGCCGTCTGCAAGAAGGAGAAGATTGCGGACCAAGCGACGTATAGTTTACTTCGGGACGACCTGAGGGATTTATCATGAGCCTGAGTAAGATGTCCCGGAGTGTAGGTACTTGCTATATTTCGAGGGAGTACTAGACATATTTAGATTTCAAATCATAATTCGCAGTCATGGATTTTTACCTTATATTACCTATTTACCGTGTTAATGAAGTAGATGTAGGGCGAGTACGAAAAATAGGGGCTAGGATAAAAAGCTGCTAGCACGGTGTTTCCTATAAATTACTCGCTATAAGCATATTCTCCTGAGAGTATAGGCAATCAAACTCATACCATGACTTCGACCTCGCTTTGGCTATACGTCAAAAGTACCTTAAACAACTCTTCTGGCTACATGCCATTCTCACCGGTATCTAGGGAGTTGGGTCAAGTATAGGTATATGTACCTAACGTAAGCAGGGCGCTCATGATAAAATTATTTTTTGAAACGCATCAGAAATGAAGATGCGAGTTGTTATAAGACTACCCGATAACTCTGGAGATCTCAGTTATAAATATTCTTAAATCGAAAATAGTAAACTTACTGGGTTAATATAACCATTAGTATAGTTTGTATTGATACCCGCACATTCAAAAAGATACTGGTGATTTTGGGGCATTCTATTTATCAAATACCTATCTCTATCATTCATGCCAATATCTGCGAGCATACTGGTTTATTTCTTTACTATAGAAAGCTCTACCACTATTTGGACATTTGTTCCGAAGAAAAGGAAGATGCTAACTAATAGGTTGAAACAGGGTTGAGGATCTTAGATAGAATACTCCTCCTGATGGGAGTATGGCTGGTATACCTTCCCCAATGATATTTGCCGCCGAATAACGCACCGAGGACAGAATTACCTCTTCTCCATATAGTAGGATAGCCCTTCAGTGTATTGGACTTAAGAGGCGAGTAGTAATCCAGCTACCTTTTTGCCTAATAAATAGTCGCCTTAACTTGTTGAAACTTCAAGGTTAAACTAGAACTTTCTAGTCTATAATCGCATGAAAATTTCCGTAACAGGTAGTCAGGAGTCGTGATCGTCCAAAAGGCATTAAGTTCTCAAAGGAATCTCTCCGAAGTCGCTAGGTAAGGGATGAACCCAATTCAATAGAGTAGGAGCTCCAACCGATAGGTATGTAAGACAACTAATAATCGCCACCGTCATAATAGTCGTCATAATCATCACGGTCGTCGTAGCTGTCGTAGTCATAATAGTCATCATAGTCATCATGATCATCATGGTCATTATGGTCATCATAATCATGAATATCATAGTTCTCACGATTATCTTGCTCGCCGTAGCCCCTATGCTCATAAGAATCGCGGTCTTGGAACTCGCCCGAAGAGGTGGGATAATCGAGAAGGGATCCACCCTTGAATGGGGAATCCGATTCGACTTCTATTGAACCCAAGTCTAGGGAATCTAGGAAGTCACTTCGGATTTGAGAATCTCCCAAGGCCTTCGAAGCGGTTCTATATGTCATGCTAGCTTCCGTGAACTCGACTCGGAAAATCTCAAAGTCTTCGAATCCAAATCTCTGGAGATTATCCATAGCTTCCCATAAAGCGTCTTGATACCAGGGATCTGCGAAGGGGTCATCTAGGTCGGTCTCCGTACCTCGGAGCTATGGGTATCTAGGGGGCGCAGCATAATTTCTCGGCTCCTGACCATTATTCCCGGAATTCTGGCCTAGGAGTGGAATTCGACCTTCATGTAGATATCCTTGCATCCCAGAATTGTAATTTTGGTTGGAAGCCTGGTTGGAGGGAGTCCATTGGGGCCGGGAATAACCTTGCTGGAGCTGGAGATCCTGGGATATAGGTAACTGTCTGGCCTTTGCTAGAAGAACACTCTCCCTGTCGTCAAGCTGTTGGAAGAACGCTCCAAGGGTAGTGCTGTCTGTAGGCTTTGACAGCTGGGATTGGATCTCAACGTCGAAAGCCTCGAAGGCATATAGCAACTGGATCTTAGGCGGTAAGTCACACGCTCTTGCATCTTGAATGATACCATAAACAAAAGGCCTCAATCTCTTGCCTCTCTTCAGGTCAAGTAGGGTGAAGGAGGCTGACTTCAGACTCTGCAAAGCCTCGCTAGGTGACTTGCGAAACGCTTTGATGAGTTTATAGATAACCCAATCCAAACTCAACTTTTGGAGAGCATCTTTCTCCATATCCGTGAGTTCCGTAAAGTACCACGCCAACGCTGTCTCCTGAAGACAATTCGTCCATACTGTCTTGACACTGTCTTCCCCATGGGAAACAGCGAGCTGTCTTAGGCGATCGGTGAATGGAAAGATGTTTGTGAAGACTGTGTACTTTCCTACGGCGATGATGCCAGTATTATGGGGGTCCTTGAGGGAAGGATTGAAGTATCCGACTGTCTCAGGCTTGAGAGTCTCATTTTTAGACTTTGCATCGGGCTTCAGATTTCGGGATTGAGATTCCTGATTTCGAGTCCATTTGCTAGGTGCACTGGACTTCTGCCCTAGGCTATCCATTCTATATGCTGACATTATTGCAAACGGGCGTTTTGCGTCAATCCGTCTTATAGGCTTTAATCTGTAAATATCGTTGCCTCTGTTCTCCGTACCCCGACTAAAAGCTTTGTAAGATGAGCCTTAGTAAATACTTAAAGGGACTCTACATGGCCCGTATCTGCCTTAAAGCATTAACAACGTAGAAATGGTAGAAACCGACAAGGAAGTTTGGGGACAATCCCGGTTAGGAGTTGTGTTGCCTACCTAGGGTCAGTACCTTGCAATACCCTGAACAAATGTGCAAATGGCCAAAGTGTTGGATGGACAAGGGGTAATTGGTCACGATATATCGTAATCAGTGAGTTGTGGTATTCCTGTTGTTATATTGATTGATGTATGAGGGAAGATCTAAGAAAGGCGGGGAATATCTATCTACACTTGTGTGGGTGCTGTGTGGGTAGGTCTAACCCCAGTCACATGACATGGTCACATGACTATAGTCCCAACAATACCTACGGCAGTGGCGACCCAGAAGGCGTTAACAACGTAGCTCTAAAGCACCCTCTTGCCCAATTGCCCTGGCGAAATGCACTAGGACCTCAGGAACTATAGCGCGTAACCTCGATCGACATATCTACGTTCGTATTGAAATAATCACCGAGGCAAGTACGCGATAAGCTTTACAAGTATCGGAGGTATCATAACCCCTAGTTGCTTCATCAATTCCAATAACATGCGATATTATAAGGTTGGAAGTCTTTGGAAAGTTTCAAGAGCACATGTAGTAAAGGATTAAAGGGTAAACAAGTTACCTAAGCAATACATATATTCAATTTGATAGAGTATCTGTAACAGGTAGGTACCTATCTTCTACATGTAAGTCATTTCACGCGCACTCAGATCGCTTCACATTTTTCGCTGTCAAAGTTGTGCGGCCAGCCGTTACTTGTATATATCTCGTATATTTCCTAGATTCCTTAGCGTCAGTATATGATGGATGAGCCTAAAACCTTCCCACTTACATTTGCCTGCTTCTCGTTACGCTTCTGGAACTTCCCACGTGTATCTGGAATAGGAGAGCGAGGAGAAGACGGCTTATAAATACTACCACAGGCGTGGCTGTTATCACTTTAATTGACTAGTCCGGCATCGCGAAGTAAGGAAACTCCGTATACACTAAGGAATAGTATAGACTCTCACTCAAGACTATAGTTTTATAGGGGTTATCTGCCTGATCGTACCATCCGAGTAGCGATGTACAATAACTTGTCGGTCATCGCCCCCTTGCGATATAGCTAGTATAGCCACGGATTGTGACGCCAGCCATCCAGGGGTAAAGGCCAACTCATAAGCATAAGATTATATGGCGAAGTCGTCATTATCGACATTGAATAAACTACGAATTACTCACTATAAAGATTGTGCCCGCCGTACCAAAAACATGAAAACCCCAATCCTATCTTAGATTCACTCGAAAGTTATTAACCAGCCTTTACCCATAGCGCCTTTGATACCTGACAGTAGGTGTTGTTATTCCTTAACATCCAATTCCCTTGTTCCCGGTGACTCCCACTTGCTATTACCTAAAATGCCGATTATGAATTCGTACTCTTAGGGTAGGTATACCGCTTGCGATCGAATGGCATTGGGCGATTCGATGGCATCTGAGGCCATACCGAAATTCATCTCCTAATTGATTGGTCATTAAAACACATTACCGAATACGGTAGATCCAATCACGAACTTCTCAGGTGAAACAAGCATTTCAATCCTTACGCTCAAAGTCTCGTCTCTGCAGTACTGTTAGTTCGCTACTTTGGTTGGAGTGATCATTGATATATCACTTACCAGCCAATGATCGCCACATGTATAGGGTGTCCGGATACCCATCAGGTGCAGGTCGGCTACCCCTGGGCTTAGAAGTTGTGTCTTTCTCCCGTAACTTCGACTTGATCTTCTCTATAGCTTTACCCATCTTACTCTTGCTGGGGAGCGAACTGCTACTGGCCAGGGTTTTAACGTCAAAGGATGACTTGCGATCTTCGTATAAATGAAAGTTAGTAAAATAAGGTAATGTAAGAAGTTAATGGAGTAAGTTGGAGTAAAAGGTAACTAACAATCATTACCGCCTTGGTATTTCTCTTCTGAGGCATCCTCCTTTTTACTTAGTGTATCTACTAGAGTTTTTTCCGACGCAATGGACGGTCGCCTTGAGCTTGTCGTATTGGTAGAGAATGATAATTCGGACTGCGGTGACATTTTGGCAGGTTCTAAGCTCCGTACATGAATAGGTAATTATCAAAGGACCTGGTTTTAATTGATGTTTGCAATACGATAGTTGGTGTATAGAAATCTACAAAGCTGAGAGCGAGCCGCCTGCAATTTCATTGATAATGTTACCTTGATCGACGGGAGAATCTATCTTTTAATACAATTCACAGGCATCCCCTGCGCGCTTTATAATCCATTAAGTCCCCTTTACATGGTGTTACTCATATTTGATATTTTGCTTCGGTTCTCTAAGCCGAGATGACGTACCGAGAGCCGAGCTCATTCGTAAGATATCGTGGGAATCTAGTTTGACGAATCAGAATCTTGATGGTGGGGATAAGCCGACGAATTGGGCTTCTTTCTTCAACGTCAAGCCGAAGCCGAAGCCGACCTAGCATTCGCTGCCTGTCCCAACAATTCCCATTCTAGACTTTGAACCAGCCCATGTCGGAGTCAAAGCTCTCGATTTACGGCTTCGGATTACTTTGATACAATCTTCTCGTACATGTCGTTCTTACTCTCGGTCTCTCGATGAACGACCATACGAACCCGCCACTGCTTCTTCGCCGTAACGGTCGGCCTCAAGCGTGCGATGTAAGTAGTTTATGTTAACTCCACCCCAGATAAATCTATTAATGAAACATACAAGCCCTGCCGTAAACGTAAGCTAGCTTGCGACCATACGCGGCCGATTTGTAGTCGTTGTAAGAAGAGAAAGCAGGATGGCGAATGCGTGTATCTCGTGTCGGGCTCAAGGATATCGACATCCAAGAGTCCACTGCCATCTCCGGCGCCTTCCACACCGCTCCCGTCCCCTCAACGCGGAAGTCTTCAGCACCCTCAAAATAGCCCGGCTTTAACACCTGACGCTCAGGTTTCAGGTCTCACTCGACCTGGCTACCTCGGCCCAACCAGTTACTGTAATATCTACGAAGACACCGAAAATAGCCTCTCACTCCTTCAGGGATCAGACAACGTCGCTATCCAATGCGAGAGCGTCGCTCACCATGCTCCTATGGAAGGCTCCCAGACTAACATGTCTGCTAGAGTTCGTGATATGGCCCTCAATGTGCTACATAATATACCCGATCCAATCCAGGGGAGTGTCCTGCGCTTCAAGCACGGTAGTGACGGCTGGATCCATAATATTGCAGAGCGAGCGGCCAAGTCATTATACGAGACTTTCGGTGATTATTTCAGCGCCGGAAACCGACCGACCGCTAAATTAGAGGAACTCGCTCGGCTTATCTGTGCCAATACATTGAGGCCGTTTTCAGACGACGAATCTGACCCGGACAAGTGGTTTGGCCAATTTCTGGGGAAGAACATACGCTGGGAGTTAATAGGAATACTCTCCATATTTTGGGAGTTTGTTCCCGGTTCAAACACAGAATTCTGGAAGGGGAAGCGCTCTGCGGAGTTTGACCGTGGATTCCGCATAGCAAGGGAGAATATGCACCTGAGCCTCGATTTGTGTAAAGAATTTTCCGCCGGAAACTCTATGATGCTCTGTTTAAGCCAGAGATGCACTGTTATGGATTCCAGTATGTACAACTGCTGATTGAAAATTCCTTTCCCCTAAAATATACTCAACCCTCCAAACCACGTACTAAGATTAGTAATTATTGACTTTTATCATCAGTGTCTGTCGGAGATGCCGGTAAGTGGCCTACGTCTGTAATTGCTATGCCAATTACTCGTGTATAATATCGAAATATTAGAGTTATCCGTTGCTAACCATTAGCGTAGATTTAGTTGTATGGAGAGCTCACGCGGAGACAATTTCCTTGCTTACTTTCCTCGGGTTTCACGCCGTAGAAGAAAAGGGTCGACTTCAAACATCCTTGTCGACCGAGATAAAGAAGAGGTTTTTTCATCATATGTTCACTATGGCCATGGTTGTTGTCTCTTTCACCGGAAGACCCCCCTTGATTAGTTCTCGGTACTCGTCGACGCCTATTCCTCTTGATATTAGCAACGAAGATTTATTCTCCGACCACGGCACTTTTATGAAAGCTATTTCACGTCTGGATGACGAAGGTTGGAATACCGACGGGGAAATATATCCTTCTACTAATATTCGGGCCCGAGCAATCATCGCAGTAATCCGCGAAGAAATATTCAAAATTGCTCTCGACCATAGACAAAACGCGTTTCCGAACGCATTTTCTATTGAAACTCTGCTGTAAGTGAGCCCCTAGGGATATGTCCTCAGTCCGGTACCAACTAAGACGGGCAGCCAACTTCGATCTCGCGAACTTTCAGCAGTTGCTGCATTCCCTTCGTGCTTGCACTTCGACCCTCTTGATCTTGATAACCCGGAGGTTCCCATCAATCACCTATCTGCAAGGTTATTTATACAGCAAGAACATTTACAGAATATGTTTTTTATCGAAAGACTCTTGCTTCGATTAGGCCATCAAGATAAGGGCGATTTATTGAAAGTTAGCTACGACCTAGTTACTCAGACTTTACCTTGGTATGTTTAGAAACCTACCACGCTTAAGCCTTACCTTGTAACGGGTATTAATCTCAGACTAACAACATCGCAGTACGTCGTGACCTACCTCAACCTCCTTTTTTCCGGATTTTATTCTATTAGACTAAAATAGAGTAACGCTCCTCGTGTGTCTGCTGCAGATACTAACGCAGAACAGATTATCTGCATTTAGATAGGCTGTCATCTTTCAGGAACGACTGTGAATGGCTTGTAAGTCAACATATGAACGATACCTTGTTACAGTTTTCTGACGAAGATATTAAGGTCATGGCTTACGCTGTTCCTGCCGGTGGTATACTCTGTTTAGAACTTCTAAAGCCCACCCTCCATTTGAGGCCCCATAGTGACTCTAGAATTACTCGCTCCAACATCATCCAGAAGTTGAGTCTCCTTGTCGCATTTCTCGACTGGGTCAGTCCGTCAGCGCCGAACGGAGATTTATGTAGCGACGCTAAATCAGTAATACAACGCGTTCTCGACCAGACATTAAATGCTGTATCGAGCATATATGAGCCTCCCGCGGTATTTCAGTGGGATTCATCAACACAACTAGACTTCAATTTTGACCTCCTCGATACGTTCGACTGGAATCGCCCGGACTTCCCTTCAAGTCAGCAGTCAAATCAATAAGGCGTTCGACATTCATGGTCTTACAACTTATAGTATGCCTAGAGAAAAGCTAGGTACCTTTCATGCCATAATGTTTAATAGGAGGTAGATGATAGATGATCTATGAATTAGATTTAGGGCCGTGCGTTGTAAAGTGCTATGTACCATAGCGGAAATGGGGGGTTTTAGAGAACGGTTCTTTTTAGGGAACGGTTCTTTATTAAAGAACGGTTCCTTGTTTCCAGGCCTCTGATTGGTCCAAATCCGAAAATAGTGGGCTTAAACCTTAATTTTTTGGACCTATTTTCTAGTTGCCGTTTGATATGTGTAAAACCGTTTCCTTTTAAAGAACCGTTCCTTTTTTGGGAAGTATTTTTGTCAATTTTATTTAGAAAAAAAAAATTTTTAAAATTTTTTTTTTTTAAGTAAAAATTTTTTTTTTTGAAATAAAAGTTATAAAAGGTAAAAATAATTAAATTTTTAAAATAATTTAATAAAATTGGTTACTTTGTTTTATTAGTTTAAACGTTTAAATTTTAAATTTTAAAAAGTTTAACGTTATATAAACGTAAAAGTTTTAAGTTTAAAAATTATGCTTTTTAAATTTTTTTTAGCCTTTTTAGCCTTTTTTTAGCTTTTTGGACCCACTTTTCCGGGAACGTTTTTTTATTAAAAAACCGTTCTTTTTTTGAGAATTATTTTTACGATAAAAAACGAGGCACCTGTTATGGTTTATTTATTTAAAAAGGGAACGTTTTTCAATTTTCGAACAGTTCTCCGGGACTATATTCTTCCGCTATGGTACCTATATACGTCCCTATCGATAGAAAAGCCAAGACGGCATATCTTTGTACCCACTTGCACGGAGTGAATGTAACCATCGTTAGTGTAAGTAGACCCCTGAATGCGTCTAATTACACCTTGCTTTGTACGATCAGTTCCCTGCAGTTCATGTGTTACTTGTGATTCCTAGGCTTACAATGGCGCCTAAACCTGCTAACCTACCTCCTAACTTAGGTACCTACCCTACCTCCTTATGAATTTGATGTAACGAAACACTGACCACAAAAGGAGCAAACCGGATGCGCGATTACGGCGAACGAAATCTTTAATTAATGATATTCTGCTACGTTGTACCATCATCAGCAAGGCCGTAATCGTGTGGCCGCCAACCTTCCTCATTTTATGTAGCGTTCCTAGCTGGCCTAGCATCTAATATGCAGGAACAGGCACGAAAGACTCGCCAATGCATGGGACATAACAAACCGCAAAACTTACAGATCTGGTTATGATCGGACCGGCTTCTTATTGCTTATCAACCTATCTAATGGCGTTTATTCCTACGAACCTGCAAACCCCTGATATTATATGTCGTGAAGTGGCTTGTGGCATGGGTATCTACACCGCGTTCGTCTTCTCATTGATGAATCCTCTCGCAGGATTCGATACCCCGCGTTCCGAGATAATGGAGGCAAGACACGCCACGCAGTTCGTAGACATTACTCGATGTAACGGTGGGGACGAAGATTGGGACATCTGTTCCGGTCACTTACAAGGCCTCGCTGCAGTTTGCATGATGCAGTGACATACTGGCGTATCCGGGACCTCACCGGGACGCCAGGGATGGAAGGTTATTTCCACTTAGACGGGCACGCGAGTTGGTCACGACCACACTACGACCACAGGGCGACCATAGGGCAGGTCCAAGACATGTTTGTCTCGCTCCTCCTGACTACTTAGAGACAATCCGACGTGTTTATCTTATCATACCAAACGAATTCTTGTCTCCGGATTGTTTATCTTGACCTTAAAGCCGTTGTCAGGTGCATCGTTATCCGCCCTGGAATGCATTATCAACTAGAGATATAATAACAGGACATATCACACTCGTTTACACTCTTTTTCCTCTATCTTGCTCTTAGCAGCAAGAAGCTCTAGTCGCCATGCCTTCATTCGGCTTGCGCTCCTGTTCAATTACTTTTATTGTCTTGGCGACTGCACTGGGGAATGATGCTGCTGATATAGATCCTCTTTCGTATGTTGATCAATTGATCGGAAGTCGAAATGGAGGAAATATCTTTCCGGGCGCCACACTCCCTTACGGTATGGCTAAAGCTGTTGCCGACACTACCAGTGGAAGTAATCAAGGAGGGTTCACTCTTGACGGGAATCCAATTTCTGGTTTCTCTGCCCTACATGACTCGGGAACTGGAGGCTCGCCGTCCTTAGGAAATTTCCCGCTCTTCCCGTATGCGAGCTGTCCTGATGATGATATTGATCGATGCGATTTTCCCAAGAAAACCCGCGCCAGCCATGGCCAATTTGACCAAAGTAGCGTTGTGGCGCGTCCGGGGTATTTTGAGGTTACGTTGAACTCCGGCGTTAAAGCTGCTATGACCGCCAGTAAACATGCTGCGCTGTTTCAATTTACCTTCCCTACATCAGATGGGAATGCTTCGCATCCTCTCATTTTACAAGACCTGACAGACCTTTCGGACTCGCGTCAAGATAACGGCACCGTCTCCGTCGACGAGGAAACCGGAAGAATTACCGGAAGCGCCCGTTTCCAGTCAAGTTTCAGCCAGGGAAAATAGTGAGTGCATTTGAAATTATTCATCGCATTCTTTACTATGCTTTCAGAGTTTCGTAAATAATTCTGCAAATTTAGCTTATATCGATTTACCCTTCCCAACGTATTTTATAGATATAAGTACTAATTCCGGGTACCATAGCGTGCCTTACTTTTGCACCGACTTTTCAGGCCCTAAAATATTCGACAACGGCATTTTTGTAAACAGTAGAGCTACTTCAGATGTCAAAAACTTGACCATCTCTAGATCGATCAATGGGTATCCTCTTCCTGGGGGAGCTTTTGTTCGCTTTGAGTCTACCGATACCCCTGTGCTTGCCCGCGTGGGTCTGAGTTTTATAAGCTCTGAACAAGCGTGCTCAAATGCCGAAGCCGAGATTCCAGACTATGATTTTGATGGGCTTGAACAGGTTGCGGCCGATGCCTGGAGGCAGAAGCTCAGCCCGATCACGATCACGCCGGGTGAGGTAGATGAAAATCAAATCAAGAACTTCTACAGCGGTATATACCGCACAATGGTAAACCCCCAGAATTATACGGGAGAGAACCCTATATTCGAAACAGGGGAACCATATTTTGATTCATTCTATTGGTAAGTTGATATGCCATCTATATATAACGCAGCCACTAACTCAGCAAAGCCTCTGGGATAGCTTTCGAAGTCAAATTCCATTTCTCACCCTTATAGATCCAGATGCGGTAGCTGAGATGATTCGCTCTCTTATTGATACATATCGATACGAGGGCTGGTTACCAGATTGCCGTATGACATTCTCCAAGGGTTACACACAGGTCAGAACCTTCCGGCTTCTAAAGACGGACTAAGCTGATATCTAGTACTTAGGGTGGCTCAAATGCTGATGTAGTCTTGGCGGATGGATATCTAAAAGGAATTACAGCCGGTATTGATGTAAGTACCCTGAATTTGATGACGTGTTTTAACTATTTAATAACTCGATCTTGTTGGATAGTGGGACGTGGGTTATGAGGCTGTCTTAAAAGACGCTGAGGTTGAGCCATTCGATTGGTCTAGCAATGGACGCGGCGGTCTTGAGAGCTGGAAACGTCTCGGATATATCATAAGTCTATCCTATTCCTAACGTGTTCCCGCTCTAAGCTAACCCTTACTACCCCGTGCAAGACCTAGATTGGCAAGGCTTTGGAACTATGACTAGGTCTATTTCCCGTACTCTCGAGTACAGTTATAATGATTTTGTCATCGCACAGATGTCTCAGCTGAGAAACAATAGTGCCGACACAGAAAAATACCTGCAATCGAGCGATAATTGGAAAAACCTATACAAGGAAGATCAGATATCGAAGTTCGCCAACGGCCAGGATACAGGATTCAAAGGTTTCTACGCCCCGAAATACTTGAATGGTTCTTGGGGTGAACAGGACCCTTTGCTATGTAGCAATATCGACAACTCCGGCACTGCTTGTTCGCTCCAAAATACAGCTCATGAAACCTTCGAGAGCAGTATCTGGGAGTACGGCTTTTTCGTGCCACATAACCAAGGCGACTTGATCACCCTCTATGGAGGACCAGCTGAATTTGTTCGCCGCCTTGATTTCCTGCATGATCAGAACATAACCTACATCGGTAATGAGCCTGCCTTCCTCACTGTCTTCCAATACCACTATGCTGGTCGGCCCGCTTTATCGGCAAAGCGTGCGCACTTCTACATACCTCGGTTCTTTGATACCACCCCTGAAGGTCTCCCAGGGAACGACGACAGTGGTGCGATGGGATCATTTGTGGCTTTCTCTATGATGGGCTTGTTCCCAAACCCCGGGCAAAACGTATATCTAATAATTCCTCCATTCTTTGAGGGTGTCAATATTACACACCCACAGACCGGCAAAACTGCAACTATCCGCAACGTCAACTTCGATCCCTCTTATGAGAGCATATACATCCAAAGCGCAACCCTTGACGGCGAACCGTACACAAAAAACTGGATTGATCACAGTTTCTTCACAGAAGGCAAAGAACTTGTTCTTACCCTAGGAAGGAATGAGAGCTCCTGGGGCACAGCTGTCAAGGACTTACCGCCGAGCTTAGGGGAGTATACTGGGTTCAACGAGACATTGTCAAGAAGAAGAGCCGCACCTAATATAGGTACAAGGTACAGCGCAGGCTTTTGGTCAAGGTAGGCCTAGAGTCAACTAATAGACGGTTTAGACCAAATATTACCTAAGAACTGTATACATACAATATTATCACGAGTAATAATAATTGAAGAATTTCATATACAAATATTTGGATTTACATATACGCCATGTACTTATATCAGATATGGGATATGATTATCTGAAAAGGCTTAATGTGTAGAAAAGGGGTTGAAGTTTCTACTTAGTACCGTTATAGGGCTACAAAAATGTAAAAGGGGTAATTAAGCGGGTAAGTTACGACAGTGTTATTAAGAATGAATACGTTTTCTTAGAACCCCAATGTACAAAAACCCTACCAAATATTGAATCATCAACTCTGGATTACATAGCAGATATTTATAGTCTAATATCATGTTACATTAGGATTATCAAAATCATACAACCGGAGGTTCTCATATTAGCCATGAAAATAAACTATCCCTTTTTATAACGCTAAAACTCAACATAGCTTCGTGGGCCATAGGGCATAGCAATAAAAATCAACGATTAATGTATATCTTCCCAGAGTGTGGTAAGAGTTCTTTTCTTTTTCTTTTTTTCTTTTTTGGATCCTGTAACTACCTCCTAGACTCCCATAGTCTTATTTGCCACTGTTATATGGATAATAACTAT